GGTTTTACATCTCCCATGGAGTACTACACTGACAAACAGATTTACAATTAACAGGAAAAGGCTCATCAACTAGAAATGTTACAATACCACAAATGACCATAAATGCATTACTCACAAAAGTGGATGTCATGCCCGCACAAGCACCCGCCGCAAGTCTTCCCAGAAGTGAGAGCTCACCATCTTTGCCCCTAAAGAGTTTCTTCAAATTCAAATAAAAAAACTTAGGAGTTTAGTTCTAAATACATGGAATGCTGCACAAAGATTTTCTTGAAGAGGGTTTCAAAATTACCTTATAAGCCTCATAAGCAAAAAGCTGAACAGCACTATAAGGGATAATCCGTATCACCTAAACAATTAAAGGAATTTTCAAACTTAAATGCAACTCAAACAAACCCCCTTCTATAGAGCATGGGAAAGTAATGTTTTGTAACTAAATGGGAAATTTAATCAGCAGAAAACCTGAGGAAGGTTGCCCTTCCAGTACCCCTTAATCCCTTCTTCCTTCCCTATCATTGTTATGGCCTGCAGGGCATGCACCAAGATTAAACATGAAGAGGTGATCATACAGGATAAGGTCAAATGCTTCTAAAAGATATATTAAATAATAAAGAACTATAAATTTTGAAAAACCATGAATTATGCTACTGTATGAAAAGATCATAAATCTACGTTAATTATGTAAGCCACAAAACCACAATACGAGAAACTAAGAGCAGGCGATAGAGCTGAAAATGCAAGACTGTAAGACAAATGTATATAATTTATGATTTTAAAAACCCGGGCAGAGCCAGAGGATGGTCCAGATGAACCATAACATACCTCGATAAAACTGATCGCCTTCTTACCGCTTTGCTGCCCAACTCGCACCCCATGAGTCTGCAAATATGTCAACATCCTTTAGAGTACTGAAAAGTTCCAATTGAATTACTAATTAATTTTGAAAATTCCAGAGTAATGTTGTTCTTAAGTTTACAAGATACATAACCTAATGTTCTTTTTTCTATGCTATTTTCTCAAATCAGCTACTTCCAAAATTCACAAATGCAAATAAAAATTTTGGATTTTGTAACCAATGCCTTCTAAATTCCCCGGAAGCAACAAATTTTGAACATTTTCTTCGTATTTTCACCGAAACCATAACACAAAAGGCAAAGGCAACACAATGTCTTCCATACGAAGCCGTATCCAAAGCATATCGGGCTATAAAATTGTGAGAAATGTGACAAAAATCAAAGATAGATAGAGAGAGCGAGAGTTAACGAGCACCTGCATAAGAATCTTGATGCGATCGAGCGGAGCGGTGACGCTCTTAGCGGCAGCTCCAGCGACGGCTCCGGCAGCAAATAGCGCAACGTCCTTGGGCACGCATGCGAGAATAGCCAAAGGATGCTTCAACAGCTGAGCCCAGGTCGGCAAAAACTCGTTCCTTTGTTCTCCCCTTTCCGCCACCGAAACGCATGCGAAATTGCACCGAATTCCACGGCCGCTGCTGAAGCTGAGTTGCGCGGTCGTCCACAGCGGTTCGTGGTGGTCCGCGGCGTCGGTGAGGGCGCAGCGGGAGACGTTGAGGCTCGGGATGCTCCGCCATGATACAATGGCTCTGGAATCTCCAGCCATGGCGTGGGAATTTTGAAGAAGGGTGGTGGAAGAGTGAAGGGATAAGGCGAGGGAGGCAGTTGCAGAGAGAGAGAGAGGAGACCAGAGGGCACGGGAAGGCGCACTTTGTTCCGACTCTCAAATCTGTAGAGACAGGCGCGTATTATTTGCTAATTTGGTAAGAAATGCGCGTGCTCACCAATCGCCATACGTATGTTCTGAAAAGAGACGACCTTGGGCCCCATGTTGACGGCCACCGTTACTCACCCCTTCTGGGTCTGGAAAGACTATGGAGTTTGGACCCGATTTTTCATTTGCTTAATTTTATAAAGAATTGGGCTTTATATACAAGATTGACTTATTTTCTTGTTTCCTGACATATTTCTCACGTAATAATGTATGATTCGATTGAAATGTAAAAGTTGAGACTTATTTTAATGTTGTCGGAATAAAGTTATTAATTCATTTATATTTTAATAAGTGGTCATAAATTCAACTCATATGAATAATGATAATGTATAATATATGTGTAAAGTTGATAGTTAGTAATGATTAGCATATTATGTGGCTTACCCTTTTTTTTCTTGTCAAGAGTTAAGTGGGGTTTTATGGTGAAATGGAAAGGAGGTCGGGAGCCTCGAACTTTGGTGAGGGGGCTATAAGGGGTTTGATTTCTATTGGGGTATTGTTGTACACACAGTTATTTTTACTTCTTACATTCCTCTCTTAATTTTCGATTATCGGATTAAATGAATTAAAAAAGATTAATAATAAAAAATTAATAAGGGTTTTAAGTAAGTACAAATATGTGTGTGAACAACATTATTCTTTATAGAATAGCACTACACTCATTAGCTTAACTGGTCTTTAAAGTAGAATTTCATTGTGAATTAAGTCACTAGAGATGGTGTACATGACTCGTATACATTCAATGACTTATCTATACATTCGATGACTAATCTTATACATTAGAATATCATCTCGTAAAAAAAAAAAAAAAGGTTAATTATTCAATACTTTATATTTTTATGAACTTATCAATTTACTATGTAGCATGAGGATTAGTGGCTTTGTATTAATTATTTATATAACTAACTTCACTATCGGTAACTTGTCTTTTATTGAACTTGTTTAATTTAAAATGGTGCACAACAACATTATAGTATTATGGTGGACACAAAGGTATCGTGGCGGACAAAGTTAATAGTATAAAAATTAATATAGAAACAAAATTACAAATAGTTAGATTGGATAATTAAAATTTCCAAGTCACAGCATTAGAGGCATGACTCGATCAATTAAGGTTGAGAGTCAGTGGTGGAGCTAGGATTTTGTAATAATGGAGTCATCATAAATCATAAATAAGCTTTTCACAAGGAAAAGAACTTAATGAATTAACCTACTTATAAGTGTAAATACATGTGTCACTTAATACTACTGTTTAGCACTATTCATCTTCACTTGTAAGCAAGAGTTCTTAGGTTCGAAACTCGTAAATAATGAGTCCACAACCAATTCATTCTCCCACCATTTAGTATAAATATATCGTTGTATTAAATAAATTACAAAATATATGTGATCGGGTGCCATGAGTCTTAGAAGAATGTCAGAAGGCTCAAATTGTATATCCTACGTTACAAATCCTCAATTATTAGATCTATTCACTCCATTGAAAAGAAAACTAAAACTCTATAATGGATACTAGGTATGATAATGTAAATTGTGATTATATTCAAGACTTAATAAGAAGATAGTTGCTGAAACAATTAATGAGAGACCTAATTAAGTGAATTATATAATATTCTAATTGGCAAGTGAAAGATGAACATATATGGTGCACAAATTGGTCAAACAAAGACCAGCCCACATGAATTAGGAAGTAAAATTCGTATCTCCAGTTTAATTGATGAAGCCAAATTCCAATTGGATGGTATACAAAATATCTAGGACCACTCCACCTACACCACCAAATTTGGTCTTCTTTAAATTGATTCCGAGGACAAGACAACAAAATACAAAGAGCACTTCGGTTATTGGATCGTGAGCATACATTACCCCCAGTGTAGCTCCGCTACTGTTGAGAGTGTATCATCAATAGAAGGGATGAGCTGATTGATGCACGCCAAAAGCGGACCAGTCTACCCAACCCACCCATGGTCCATCTAACTTTCAAGTTTTGTCTCACAAAACAATAGTGAGAGACATTAAAATGAAAGAGTATGAGCGAATAAAAATATAAATAAATAAAAAATGAGAAAAGGAGTTTCTTGAAGGTTGTGAGTCAACTTGTAACCAAAACTTAAGCAAAACCGATTGATTATGCTTATTTCTCACCTCACAAATGCGTCACATGAGGTGAAAAATATGTAGAAAATGGTACGCACTCGGTTGCACTCAAGTTGCTACGTTTATTTCTAACCCGCGACATATCAAACGAGCAAAATGGGTCTACTCTCGGCTGAAAGAAAGAACCCATACCTTGAATTAGAAAAGGGGTTAGGCCGGCCCAACATTTCTGAGGCACGAAGTTCAAAAAATGAGCTAACCCTGATCATGACCCAATGGTCATCATCTCTCGTCATAACCACTAGGGTTAGACTGGCTAGTAGGGCATTTTAGAGGATTGGACACCACCATGAGATTTTAGAGCATCTTCAAGGAAAGCTCTAAATTTTATCACACTAAGAAGTCAACAGTCTTAAAGAATTATTTTAGTTATTGTGTTTAATTTTTCATCTCCAACAACATTATTTTAACAAACTTTGATATTTATCCAACTCAATCCGTTCATTTTTTAAAGGATAATGCTAGGAAGGCTAAATTTTTAAACCAAATGATATGGATGTGAGATGTTAATAATTGAATTATTATTTAAGTGTCGATTAACATGTTTATTTCCTATTGGTTACATCATTGGTTTGCAAATTTGGTTTCTCTAGCAATGGTCCACCATTGGGTTTTATTTATTTATTTTTTAATATTTTGATGAATAATTTCTCTGTAAATTAAAGAGTGATGGTTTATTTTGTTATAATAGAGACTCTTTATAGAGCCTCTTACGAATGTGTGTGTGTGTGTGGTTTTTTTTTAAATTTTATTTATTTATTTAAATTGGCTCTTTAAAATAAAATTTTGGTTGTTTTACAGCATCTCTTGGAGATACTCTAATAAGCCAACTTCTAACTTTTTTGGAAATCTTTGAATGAACTCCCATTTAGTCTGCTAAAAGCCAGTCATCTTGGCCTCTCATTTCAATCACTTTCAAAATCTAAAGCATGCGTTGTTTTGATCCATTTTGGCAACATATATACAAGTTGGGTTGTATCTTTGATATTGTTACGTACTTAAAAAAAATTAAAGTGCTCAAAACAAGTATGGTCTTAGAATAAAAGAGAACTTATAAATTGCAAAACCCACCCCAATTTTGAATTCATTAATTCTTTTATTGGATTACAAAGCAAAGTACTGAACCTCTATGACATATGCCCCAACTCTATTCAGAACACGAAATGAAAGACCAGATGACAAATACAATCTGATCATATCGACATGGAGCTATATACATATGACATACATATATATATTTTGTAGCCGGTCATCGATCATCAAGCTTCACCAGTACTACCAATTCATACTGTTGCCATATTTAGATCCCCAAGCAAAACGAAAACTGTTTGCTTTCAGACAGGCTCTATAACACAATCCAAAATTGAAGAAATTTAACAAAGCTGCATCCAGCCAAACTTGCTGATCAAGGCTCAATCTTTTGCTGTAATCGGGAAATAATGAACCCAAAACGCTAAAACCTGGTTTAAAGCGAATGAGTTCATGTATTAGTTAACTTTATAACTTGCTAGTTGGAATTTAAATATTTGAATTTTACCGTAATGAACTTACATTTTAATTAAGCTCCAAGAACTGCTCCAGTGGACATTTGAAGCCCCAGGTTCACGATGTTCGATTGATCTAAAAGAAGAAAAAAAAAAAAAAAAAACTCATGTTTTAGATACGAAATTTTTTAATTGTTACATTAACAAGCAAATTAGGTTGTTAAATACTTACGAAGCGGAGATTTGTTTACGAAAAAGCAGGCTGAAATGATAATGTAGCACAGCAGAAGAACCAATCCCTTCAGGTAGTGGGAAGTGCCATCCTATAAAATCAAGGAGAAAGTGAGATAAAAGGTTGCTTGCTAATAAAGGAAAGCTGATTAGGTTAAATTTTAGCAATCTTAGATTCTCAATTAATTACCTGTAATGTGAAGGCCACAGCAAGTATTGATAAAGCCAAAGTGCCAGTCTCAATGACACTGAAATTGAGATCCATGTTTATTCCCATAATCCAAGCAACGATCACGCACAACGGAACCTGAAAGTTCATTTCAATGGCATTAGAAATTATAAACTTCAATCAAATTTGAAAGAAAAAACTAGCATTTTATATTCTTAGTGTATATAGACGTACAACGAACATGGCTATTTGAGTTGCAGACCCCAAAGCAACGCCGAGAGTTATATCCTGCGTTTACCCGAAAAAAAAGTACTTGAGAACCTAGATTTTCAAGTTAATGGTGGCAACAAAAACGTGCTGGAAAGATTAATCATATGTTTAGAAATGCAATGGGAAACTTAATAATTGTGATTCATTGAAGATCACTCACCAGCTTGTTCTTGAAAGCAAATATGATTGCTCCTGCATGTTCAGCTGCATTGCCAACAATTGGTAGCAAAATTATGCTGATGAAGCTGACAGACAAGCCCCAAGAATCTGCTGCTTCCTGTTGAAAAAAGTTGTGATTAATTTTATATTAACATAGTAAACAACATAAGGTTACTAATCCAATCAAGGTGGTCTGACTTCTACCTCAATAGTTCCCACAACATACTCAGACAACAAGGCAATGACTGCAGTCATTGCAACCAGCCACACAATTCCACTCCATAACCCTATCGCAGGTGTTTCTTCCGAAACAACATCATCATCGTCCGATTCCTGGTCATTAGTAACACCATAAACAAAATGGCTAAATTAGTAATTAGCACAAATCAATGCTGCCAAAATTGTCCCGAAAATTTTCGCTTTCAATAGTCTTGCATAACAGTGTTCTCTCGCCATACTTATGCTGCGAGACTGAATCTGAACCACACATTGAGAAAAGATTCTAGATATTTGGTGGTTCAAATTGGCAAAAGAACATTTTCCCACAATTTCTTTTGTCGAACACTAGATTGTGAGATCATGAAAGGTGCAATAAAACTTGTTAACTTGATTAATTATTTATTTACCTCCTGAGCTTCAAATAATTCACGATGTGTCCACAGCTGGAAGACTATGTATGCAGCGTAAGCTGAGAGCATCACAATGCTGCTGGCTCTGGACAAATGGAGTGTGGGGTCCACTCCCATAACAGTAGAGCTCCCTGCAGCAGCAAACGTGAACAGCATTGGCAGCAAGTGGCACAGCAGAGCCAGGAGCAGCATGAGGGAGTTCACATCAGCTTGCCTCTGTATGAACAACCAAACAAAATATTTAGATAAGCATGAAATGAAACCAAACACTATCCAGGATAAGTTTAAAATTGACAGAGGTATCTATTTGTCCAAGAAAAGTATTATATAATATAGGGCCGTTTGGTGGCTGGGACTCGATCGATAGGATTGGAGGTAGGTCGAAGTTAATTCTATAGAGTGTGGACGGTAATCCAATTTAATACGTCAACTTCCAACATTTATAAATTTCGCTAAACAACGGCCATGACAGTGATGCAATTTAATTGAAATAGTTTAATTCAAGTCGAGCCAGCTTACCCTGTCATATTTTTGTTCTTTCTTGATGTTGGCAATGCCACCACAAAAGAGAGAAGTGCCGAGGACTAAGAGAAGGTTTGAGAGAATGGAACCCAGTAGAGAGTACTTCACCACTGCTACTTTGCGTTGGGCTAGGGCAAATATTGCAATTATGAGCTCTGTAGCATTGCCACATGTCGCATTTAGAAGCCCTCCCACTGCAAACCCAAAAATAAATAAATTCGAATAAATAAATCAATCATTTTTGTCATATGAAAATTTCATACAACTTTTTTTTTAGGACTATGATAAATTGATACATAGTTCCTCTTATCTCCTCCCTTTTTTTTAGTACAACAATATAGAAGGAGGAGTTCAGTTAATTAAGCCACATAACAGACAACCTAATTTGATTTCGAATTCGTCATTCACGAGATTCAAACCTAATACCTCTACAGACTATAGTGAGTGGCTTATCTTGCCCTTTTGTACTTAATAATTAACAATATGGTAGGGCAACTAAAGATAATGAGGTGAATTACCTGTTGGACCGGTGTAATAAGCAATTTGTCTGCATTTTTGGGAAACAAAAACAAAATGTTAGTGTGGTTTATTGCTTTGTTTACGTCAATGACAAATAAAAATTACACTACTACTAACATAAAATAGTATGAATGAAAAATAGTAGCAAAGTTAGCACTCTTCATTTAGTTTCTCCCATTCAAAATCATTACAGAATTTTAATATACTTACTCTGTCAAGAAGCTGACTCGTTCCGCTAGTGGCATGAGTCCAATTAAGCTCAATGCAAACACCCAAGGCTGTTTCATATAAATTAAGTGGTTAGATAAAAGAAGTCATAACGGTTAATGTCGTAGAAAAGAAATCAGAAGATCAGTTACAAATTTACAATCATAGACAGAAGTCAGAACGATTACGGTCATAGAAAAGAAATCAAAAGAGTTACAACCACATAAAGAAGTCAGAATGGTTACGGTCTAAAACATTTTATTTTTATTTTTTATGATCATAGTATGTAAATGATATTAACTCATAATTAGATTCATACACCAAGTTTAAACTCATTGAATTTATTTACCAAATGATATATATGATATATGATGTATCATATCATTTTATTTTATATTTATACTGGCTTAATCAATATATGCGTAATTATTTGGTTAATTCTTGTAAGGAATCATTTTCTAAACTTAAAATCAAAGTTTATCTACACTAATGGGTGGGGAAAGCAAGTTCAGCCTGACAATGGGCTAGTACTAATGTCATTTTTTGTGAGAATCGAATTTAAGGTCTCTCACTTTTAAATGAAGAGAAATAATATTAGACTATAGTACTAAATGGCAAGTTAGACGCATTTTAAAACTGTAAGGAACTCTCCAAGGAGGAATGAATCCTTCTAGAGAACGAGACGCATTTTAAAACTGTAAGGAACTCTCCAAGGAGGAATGAATCCTTCTAGAGAACGAGCCACATACTTCCTATTTGTATGCATGGGAAATTAATTTTAATCAAGTTTAAAAAATGACGTTTTGAAATTAATTAAATAAAAATGTTGTGTTTCACTGTTTTATTGAAACCCCTAAAGTGGAACTCACTCTTGCAAAGCCAAAACACTGAGCAGCAATGGCAATAGGGATGGCTGGGAACAAAACAGAGAGTTTAGTCCCCAATAAAACCTCTTGCAAATTCCCCAGAAACTGTCTGAGAAGGGCACACGGAACTTTGGAGACAAGTGTGCGGTCGGACTTCTTCCGAAGTGAAGTGGATGACATGTTGTGCGCAGTCCGGCTGGTGCGGCCGGTCTCCTTGGTTAAACCCTTGAGGGTGCCATTTTCTAACAGCCATGGCTGGTCTTGGTTTGAAGCCATGATCGATGGCGATGCACACAAAAATGTAGAAGAAAAACAAGGCAAGGAATGTACGTATACGCAGCAGGCTGGCTGGCTAGGTAGCTAGCTAGATAGTATCTAGTCAGATGAAGTAGAGTAAAGAGTTATACAGTTAAATAGAGTTGCGATGTTTCTTGTGTGAGGTTGATATCTGCCAAGTATAATTGTAGGCTTCCAGGAAGTTTCGTTTTTTGTTTGAGTGCCAAAAACTGAAAACCGAAAAAAATCGGACTGAACACCAAATCAAACCAAATTTTATTGGTTTGGTTTTGGTTTTGGAGGTTTAGAAACCAAACCAAACCGAACCGAACCAAAATCCCTTTACACTTTAAGAATGTATGCCCATGATGTTTCTTTTGTAAAACTTTGTTGCTAAGTTTGAAACTAAGCCTAGGGCTATTTCAAGGAGCATACTTGGTTTAGTTAGGGAGGATATTTTATTGGTTATAGAGGAAAGTTTTGGAATGCTTTAGAACTTGGATGAGCTTCTCTATTTGTTTGCTTTTTGAATGGATACGGTGATCATTTTTCTTTGCAATTGAGATTGTTGATAGAATATGATTGGTTTATATGACCTTGTATATGTCCAATTACTTGCCTATTTTCCCACTTTCCCCATTTTCTTATTATTAGTCTAGCAATGCAAGCCTCTTTTTTCGTAGCTTGCAGACTTTTTATGCTACTTATTTTCTAAAATAAGAGATCAAAACTAATTCGTATATTCGTCCTGCATGCTACACTTCTTAATTTATCTTCTGCGAACTAACACGAAATTGTTGCTTCATTAGAGTAGGTTACCGAAACTAGATTCTCATAGTGTGGCGCTTCGAGTTAGCAAAGCGTTCTAGTAGCGCCGAAGCCCTATGTTCTATAATGCTGAGGCAAGGACGCTTCGCCTTATCTATAGAAGCAGTCAACTGAGTTCTATACTAATTAGCTACTTGGTAATGGCTTAATCTATAGATAGGAAGGCTTATGATGGGAAACTACCACGTTAGGTATTTTTCATAATGTGCACACTTGAGTTAACTTGACACAACTTGATATATATGATTTATTGATTTTAACCAAATTGACACGATTACTATTTATATGTTGAGTTTTAAGCAAGCTAAAACAGCAGAATTAGGGAATCTGGACTAAAGCAAACTGTCCAGATTATACATTTTTATCCGTATCAAAACTTAGATTTAGAAAGATGCTCGCAAATAGACAGTTTAATAACTTTACGGTTATTAATTACAAACATAATAAGCTAGGGCTATAGACATACAATAGATAATTCATAACATATGTTGTTTCGTACAGAAGATTGTATTAGAATGAGCAACACTCTAAATTCAAGCACTACAAAAGGCGTAAGTAACGGAATTTCACATGACGCTCAAAAGTAAAAATGAAATATTTTCCATTTTGAGGAGATTATCATTTTATGGTGAATTGGAATGTATAAGTTATTTTCTTGAGTAATATTCATCTCCTATCTCTAAGATAGTGACAATTTTTTTTTCTTCAACATTCAAAGTTTTGAATAAACTTTAAATGTTGACCAATTTTGTCTTACCAATTGAAAAATTCGTCGAGTAAAATCTCTCTACCCGACGAGATGCGCTCCATTTGTCATAATTTCGTCGAGCAAGACTAAATTTCTGAAGTGCTTACAAATTGTGTTATCTATTCAAATCGAATTCCCGTGTCACCAATTAGTTCTATTTAAAACCTCAATTTTCTTATCTGAAGTGGTACATTCACAGCAATCACCAAGATAAAAAACTGCGTCTGACTTTTGACTGCCGATTATGTACTTGATGTGCAGTTCTGGAAAGTACAGGTAAAAGCCAGTAGAGACAGAAAACCATTGACGTTTTGTTTTTTAGTAATTAATCACATAATTTCACGTTGATTTTGAACCACGTATATAAAATAAAATTATGAGAAAAAAACAAAAAAGTCCAACGTTTAGCACAGAGAGAATTGTACGCTGTCTATTCTCCATACAGAGACCAAAGAGGAATAATAATGACGATGGTGATGTCATGATCATATAAAGTGGCCGATTTAAGATTTTAATTGTGGGAGGTTTTAGTGTTACAGGGCGGGAAGAGCACAAAAAAGTCATTTTATTCACTGAGATATTCTTTAAACAATTGGCGAACGTGCTGTCAGCCATTCTATAGCATAATGTCAACAAATATCAAATACTAAGGTAATTTGTTGAGTGATGTTGAATGGTGTTTACGCAATGTATTGAGATATATTTAACATAAGTTACATCAAATATTTAATAAGTATAAAAAGATCACACAAACATTCGGAACGTCCTCTAAAAACCTTTATATGTATATTTCTCGAATTTCAAGTTATCCTTGGACTACCTTGGTCACAGTGTAATCTCCCCCCCCCCCCCAACCACCACCCATATATGTGCATATACAACTGCGTATTAATTATTTTTCATTTTTATATTAACTGGACCAAATGCATGAGAATAACTGAGAACTCTCAGAAGTAGTTGTACAGAAACCTACGTATACTGCAGACGAACCTTCCTGGAAACTCCTGGATGGATCGATGACGGTTATGCTTATCTTTCCATACTCGAACAAAATCTTGAGTAAGAGCTATCCCTTCATAAAGTTCTTGCTTGCTAGATTGGGATGACAGGCTCACATGGAGTTGCACATGAGCATACGATCGTTTTTTGTTTTTTTGTTCTATTTTGTTTTTGTTGTTCTTAACCGTCGTCATATATTACTAACTAATTTTATGTTGGATTGCTCACATTTTAATGTGTATAGAAGCGTGCATTGTTTTCATTTGTCAAGTCACATATATATGGTGCCGGTATGAGCTTTTTGAGGCCCTAAGTGACACCGAAAAGAAAAACCCTAATTTATATATAGATAAACTTGAACCTGGTTTTGCAAGTAAATTCAAACTGTAATAAAAAATAAAAAAATAAAAAAATAAAAAAAGCCCACTACTGAAAAATGCCACATTTAATAACTTGCACCCTTTACGTTGAGAGAGGGAATTGAAGATGGGTGGGCATGGAAACAAAACCGCACAAACCACTCCGGCTTATAAGATAATTTGATAACTAAGATGAACGTTTATTAGTTATTCAAAACAAAACAAAACCTTATATATACATGAACTAACATAATTTTTTTTTATGCCCCTCGTTTTCGGGGACCTTAAGCGGTCGTTCTGGTTGCCCTACGCCAGACCCTGTCTTACATTACGATTACACACATGAAGGGTTCAATTGAAATGTCTATATCACAATAAACTGATTAGGGGGAAAGAAAGATTTTCATATCAACTATCAGGCTACTCTCTTGCTTACACGTACTTGGGTACGTTTATAATGCGACATATGAGTCGTACCAACTAGTTAGTAAGAAGCAAAGGTGACAAAATTAGGGAAGGTAGAAAGAAATTTCGTGAGATATATATACACTATTCAAGGACAAATATCTAAGTACGCCTATATATATATTTGTGGCTCGAGTAGATTCTCAATTGTGCACAATATTTACAGATGAATTCCAGCGGTCCAAAGTTTGAAACTGCGCTATCAAGGGTTGGATTGTTGAAGGTTTCTTGGTTGCTCCATGTAATTTGCTTATTTTACTGCATGCTATCATGTGTCCATAAACGTACTTACGTACGTATGCTCATGACCCTACTCTTAAGCCCAAGCTCTGAATTTCTGGTGCTAGTTGATTTCACAACTCTTAATTATAATATTTTCTTTGGAGGTTACTCAATTCACGGAGATTATTAAGCAACCAAATTTACATGTAATTAGTATTTTCTTATTCATAAGCTGATCTCTACTCTTTCTCATAGTCATTTTATTTTTAGTTTTTAGTTTTAATTTTTGTGGTGAGATTAAGGAAAGTATAAGGGTGAAAGGAGTGGTGAAGAAGAGGTGGGAGGGAGAGGAAGAAACAAAGAAGAATAAACTAAAACATGATCTTGAAAGTATAACGATTACAATAGTTTTTTGTTTTATATTTTCTGTGCATTTTCTCTACCTCTTCGATCATCTTTTCTCCTCTCTTTATTTGTAGTCTTGTGCTTCCATGATCAAGTAATTTGGTAAAAATTTCGAGGCCAAATTAATATATATTGTAATAAATGTGGAAAAATCTAGTTTGGTCTTTTCTGTTAAGAATAAGGGTGAGTATGGATTCATTCGGTTCAATTTTTTTTTTTTTTTTTTTTGTTAAATCGAAAATCAAACCAAGATTACTATTTGGTTTGTTATGTTTTTGCAATCTGTAAAGTAGAAACCGAATTCGGTTTCGTTTTTCTTCAACTTTTTTTCTTTTTCTTTATAACCTAGGAGAGAAAATGAAAAAAAAAAAAATCTAGAGAATAAAGCTTAGAAAATATTTGGGCCTCTCATCACATATTGGAGCTTTATCACATATTATTTACCATCGATCACTCCACACAGTCCAAAAACATGTCTTGCTCTCATTATGTCTTTGCTAGAATAGCCAAATAATTCCCAATAGTATATTTGCCCTCCACACGATCCATGTCTGTGGAACCCTAGGACTGAGCTTTCCACGAAGTTTCCTCCATCTTTGTGGGCACGTCCGTACACATCTTTATCACGTCTTCTCTCTATAATTGCATGATTTGTTTTGTACAGGAGCTCAGCTGGGACATGCATAAGATTTATATCACACTTCCGGATTAATAACGACGGAAATGTTGTTTTGGAATGTAATGTCACGTACATGGGGTGTAGGAACTGCAATTTCCACGAACTTTCCTCTCTATCTCTATCAGGGCAGAGGTGGCTTTTGGAGTAGCGAAAGGTGTAATCGCATAATGTTATGTACACTTTTGTTTATTCACTAGACAAAAGATACATATGACTGTAAATGTTGTTTCTAAGCTCAAATCGAAAGCGTAAAATTACACTTTAACATGTTTCGGAAATTTCATTTCATTAAGTGATTTCAAATGGGAAAGAGATAAATAAATAAATAAAAACATAAATTTAACAAATAAGAACAGAAAAGAAAAAAATATGAAAAGGGAAAAATTATCCGATCCCTAGTTACTAATGTTTATTGATTGAGACCTT